ATCGGTGGTCTCGTCAGTGGTAAGGAGTGTTGCAGTGGGAAAATTTGTCGGTTTTGGTTGATTTGCTGTGAGCACTGTGCTGATGTCGCGAGGTTGGAAATGACTTGTATTTGTCGAGCTTGCAAATGATGTTGGCTGGTGGTGACATCGCAACGGTTGCTTATTGATGCACGCGATTATTAATTAAAGTGGAGTGTGTGTGCGTGTGTGCGTGTGGCGCAGCACTGTGTTGACGTTAAGAGTCACGGTTGAAGTTGTGATAGACAGTGTCAGTTGGTGGGGTGGGGGTGGGGGTGGGGGTGGAGAGTTGAGTGTTGGTAGTGGGAAGAGAGTAGAGAGTGTGGCGCTGACGTGGTGGAGGATAGGGTAGGGAGGATGACGTTGGAAGTGTGTTTTGTTTAGCCTTTTTTGTTTTGTTTTTTTAAGTTTTGATGTTTTGTTTTCTGTTGACTTGTTGTAGCCTGAGATATCTCGCGAGATTGTGGCAACACCGGAGGGTTGGAGCAAGCCTGCCAGTGGTCACAACTACGTGAGAGTCACCTTCGACCGTACCCCGGTGATGTCGACATATTTGGTGGCCATGGTGGTGGGCGATTTCGAGTACATCTCCAGTAAGAGTCCATGTGGTGGCACCACGTGGACGGAGGAGTCGGCAAAGGCACAAGGAGGGCAGTTGGAAATTCGAGTGTACACGCCACTGGGGAAACGCAAGTATGGAGAGTATGCGTTGGGAGTGGCGGAGAAAGCGCTGCCATTCTACGCGGAGTTGTTTGGGTGTCCTTATCCACTGCCGAAGTTGGATCTGATTGCGCTGCCTGACTTTGCATGTGGAGCGATGGAGAACTGGGGCTTGGTGACTTACAGGTGAGTGTTGAAGAGTAGATGTTGTCTTTGTTGGGCTGTGGTGGGGTGGACTTTGGGTGGCATTGTACGTGCAATGAAGGTAATGGTTGGGATGTGCAATGCAGTCGGTGGGAGGCGTGTATTGTGAGGTGTTAGGTGTTGCAGCAGTGGTGAGGTGCACTTGGCATGTGAAGTAAGTGAGGGC